GCAGTTGATCGTTAAATGTACTTCATCTCATGAAACTCTTCTTTGCAAGCAATGGATGTAGCAATGAAATATCCAAATCTTTCTATCCAATTAGAAATCGATGAAGTCCAAATATGAAATTTCGGTGACTGTCTTTCTATAGACATAATGATTTTTTAGGCAATAAAAGTCCGGAATTCTAATCATAATTGTTTTATTTCCATTTCAGCAGTCTTTTCAATCAGGGATTTTTTATATTTCAATTACAATTTTAATTTATAACAACATTTGAAGATGTGTTCAGGATCTCACTATAATGATTACAATAGGAGAATAAAAATGCACGTATGGTCTTACTAAGACCTATAGTGAAAGAGGTTGAACTGACGTTGGCAGGTCATAGGTACTTAGTACATTTTACGGGCTTCACGAAGGGAATTCACCAGTAAATTTGGCGTACAGGGAAAAAAAACTCTCCCTACAGCGGCCACCCTCCGTTCCCAAGAAAAATTGCCGCTCTGAAAGAGATTCACGTTTGGAAGTACAAAATAGGTATTGAAACAAGCCCTGATTCGTTATTTCTAACAAAGTGAATTTTAAGAATTATCTAAAGGAAAGTTCTTTCTTATTCGTTCATTCTACTTAAGTCGAAAAGTACTCTCTTTTCTTTTTTTATTTACAAAAGATACAATTTGTGTTTGGATCTTTCCGCTTTAGTAACCACGTCCTCTTCAATGTCCGATTCCGATAGAAACCGGAGTTTATTTTTTTTCTTCACACTGGGAAAGGAGCAACTAATTTAAATCTGATTTTCGGTGTTGTTTTTGTTCTTTCTTTCCTCCTTTTTCTCTTAATGAAAGGTCCAAGGTCAAAGAGACGAAAGGAATGGATTTCATTGAAGTTGAATGGACGACCACCCCGGCCGCTAAGAGGGGTTTGAGTGGCCGTTCCTAGTGGTTATTTTAACATTATATCTATGGGCCAAAAAATACATGCCAACAAAAGTGGCCATTGAGAGGGGTGGCCGCTTAGAGAAGTTTTACCAAACTATATTCAAAACAAAGCAAGAAAAAAACTAATATGGAATCAGATTTAATTTCATTTTGAATAGCTACTCCAGCAAAACGATTTTTCGCATGCATGTTTACATAAAAAATTGAACAAACCATTATAGTATTTTTGCGAATTAACAACAACGGACAAAATGTTTGGAATGTTTGACAGTTATCATATTTTTTTAAGAAAATTCTTAAAGCAAAAAGAAGACCATTATACGTCACTAAACATTTTCTGGAAAAAGATTTCTAATTATTAATTTCATACATTTAATAATTAAATACTTAACATTAAAAATAATAATGTTAAATATTAAATTATTAAGTGCCAACAATATTCTATTTTAAGGAATTTCAAAATCATTAAATATTAAATCTAATATGAAACTGAATCAGAGTCATTCATAATCCCTTAAATAGCGATTCAGTGCGCCGAGTCGTTTATCTGAAATGTCTTAATTTAAAGAAGTTACGTTTGACATCAGTGTGGCAACTTGACTACAGTAATCCCCAGAAAGGGAAAAGTAGAACTGTCATCCCCACCCCCGCAGGGATTCATCCTCAGATTCCTTTTGACCCTACCCCCGAGCGGGTGTAGATTTTGATCCGGCTCTAAGCCATGTGAATTTTACTTGTATATATATATGTGTCGTAGTGGTGTTGTGTGTGTAAATAAAACCATAAAAGACAAACTGGATCTATTTTGAATTTGGATATGAAACCACACATGAGAAATCCACTACAATTAGCTAAGATTGATTTTTCTAAATGTTCCAGGAAGACTGAGTCATTTGAAAGGGCGTATACTGGTTGGGAGAGAGGGGGAATTTCCCGTTGACGTCACCAGTGGCAACGATTGGGTGGAAAAAAGGGGGGGAGGGCAAAAAATTTATAGACATCTGAAAGTACCTGGCAAAAGAATAGAGTGCAGACAACAAAATTTTAAAATTAGGTGACTTTCTCGGACACTATTGCTTTTTCATAATTCCTAGTTATAGGCAGCTAAAATGAAATATAAATTTAATTTTTCCCGCAAAAAGTAGGATGGGGTGAACCCCTCCCTTGTCGCTACTAGTGAAAGGAGCGCACAGCGAAGTTATAGTGAAAGATGGGTAGTTTTTGAAGAATATTGTATTCTTTAAAATTGCCGTTAAGCCAAGCTGAATTTGTAACAGACGACAAAAATATCTTCGGATTTTTAAAAAGTAGATTAAATAGAGTAAACGAGATATTAAAAGGTTGGGATGAAGTATTCCAGTGGAATATTTGATACAACTTGTGATCGGTTGTGATCAATTTTAATAACCGTTGTGCCATGTGCGCCCACTCTGAGAAAGGCCAAAAGAGATATTCTATTTAATCACGGGATAGAAGATTTCTTTTGTATATGGACATTAGGGTGAACCATAAATTTAAAAAAATAAATCCTGTCGCTATACCTCAGAAAGTTCTGAATTGTCGAGAAATAAAAAAAAAAGGGGGGGGGGGGGTTACGGGAGGCTGTCTTTTTCAAACAGCCGCTGAAGTTAAAGACGTAGGGCTACTTTACTCGCGTGAGTCTTTTCTGATTTTCATTTTTTTTTTGTAGCTTCTGTTGTTACCCTATCTGTCTAAAATAAGACATTAGTTATGTTTTTAACATATGTAGTTACCGAGATATAGAGGATCGCGTCACCAATTCATACGTATGTTGCCCAACTTTGCGACTCAGTAGTCGCTGAACTACAATTCCGATTTTCAATTTTTTTTTGTATCTTTTGTTGTTACCCCTTATCTCTAAAATAAGATATTAGTTATGTTTTTAACATTTGTAGTTCCCGAGATATAGAGGATCTCCCATACAACGATTTTTGTGGCGTTTTGGCGTGTGAATCAAATTCCTTCCTGAGACCCCATTGGGAGGAACGTAGTCCTACGTTAAAAAAATTATAAAACTGATAAATATATTGATTGAAATTTTGAAATTTCTTTGTGTCTGTTCATTATACAGTTTTCGCTGCTTGTAGTAATCACGGATGTAACGATCAATCGGCTGTACTGATCAAAATAGCGTGGAATGGATCTCCCGTATCTAAACACAATGAAAATCCTCAGGTTCTAGTGATCAACAATTCGCTTGTAGTGATCAGTTTCAATGAGATGACACCACAGAAGATGAAGACAATGGCGATGAAGGGCGCCAGAGGAGAAACCGCTATGAGCCCAAGAAACTTTACAAGCCTTTCGTACTGTTACAAAAATGGAAAGTCGCTTCCCAGCTTATTTTTTCACCCCTTCATTATATTTGACATAAAAAAATGACATGAACGCATTATTGTTTTGTCCCCAAAGCGCACCCAAAGAGTGGCTCTCTAGTCGCAAAGCTTCTGATGCTCGTATACCTATAGATTTGCAATATTTTTAAGGCATTTTGGATGTACTGATCATTCCGATGTAGTTATCACTTTGGCTTTGACCCAAAGTGATCACTACAACTACAAGTGGAATCTACTGTAGTATTAGCTGTAAAGCACTCAACTTCTTAAGAGTAATAAATTTAAAAAAAATCAGAATCGTTGTATTACTTCTGTCGCACATTTGCTTCAAAGATGACAATATATGAAATTACTTCAATATGCAGTTTTTAGTTCCTAATCGCACCATAATCTTCACACAACTTCTTGCCGATGAATTGCAATTGGCCGATGTATATGAATTGCAAACGGTTATTTAGGTTTAAAAAATATACATTTTATTTATGTTCTTTGTTTATAGCAACACATTTCAAAACTAAGCTCCAAAACTAGAATGTTATTTGTTAGTAAAAACGAATAGCAAGCACACAGAAAGTTACAAAAATTAACAAACCTTTAAGAAAACACTTCAGCTATTAAATAATCTTTATGTTTCTTCATTATTTAACTTTTTTTCGGAGAAATTTTTGAGATAAATACATGTACTGAACTTCATGTACCAACAGAAGGAGAAGACTTCATAATTTCTTTAAAATAAAATTTAAAAAAAATTGAATTTAATGAATTGGCGTTTGAGCAATTAAACCTGTATAGAAACCGAAAGCTTTTCTCTTTTATTTTACTTTTTTTCCTTCTCTTTTATTTTACTTCATTATCATTATTGTCTCGAACCGACTTTCAATGAGGTGGAGAATCGTCGGCAGACTGGAAGATGATTGACTGAGGATTGCTAAGCAACAGGGCCAGTGCAATGGTATCTGGTCCCCCTAGGTAAGAAAAAATTCATGCATCCCCGACCAATACGTACTTATATATTCACATGCATAGTCAAACATAACACAGCCAAATATAAATTAATTTCATGTTAAAACTATTATTCTATTTTAATAACGAAGCATTTAAATTGACCAAAAAGGAAAACAGTTTTCAGTAATGTTCAGTTGCTTGTAATTTAAGCATCAATAATTCAATGACAAACTTAATATTATATTTACAGTTATAATTAAATACATGCTACAGTTCAATATTTATTATGAGGGTCGGAAGGTTGACGAAAAAAATGACAATTTGGCTTGATGGACAAGCGCCCCTAGGCGATCCCCCAGGCTCACCCCATGGTAAAACAGGCCCTACTAAGCGACCCTTTATTTTATAAATCAGAACTGATGGGCGTTTTAAACATTTTAGTCATTTTAACTTGACCGTTTTCCTCAACATGCTGCCTGTACAATAACCAAAAATGAGTAATGATATGATATAAACTTATGGCGCAGTGACGTAGCAATGGTAAAAGGCGTTTGAGAGTATTATGATTTTTTTTTCGGCAGTCGTTACCTTTGACTTTAAAAAGTGAAATTAACAAATTAACGCGGTATTATTTTCTCTTCGCTGCCCCCACCCCCACCCACGAAGACTAGTGCGCACTATACGCCTCCTTCGTCCCGTTGTTACGAAAATATAATAGAACAACTGCAAGATTCCTCTAAAATTGTAACTATCAACCTTTGAACCCGCCCTTGTGGTCTGATCGGTAAGGCATCGGCCCCAAACGCCGTATCATGCGGGTTCGAGTCCCGCCGAGGGCTCAGTGTCTGGCTTGTATTTATATGTCTAGTTGGCTTCACTGAAATACGTTCCAGACATTTTGGTGTGAAATACTACCTGCTCCAACTTGCAACGAGACCCCGCTACTTTTTTTTGTAAGTAACAAGTTCCTTAACGTCAGCAATAGTTATTGAGCAATAATTTATTCATTAAAACAGAATGGATCTTATTTTATTAAGGAATAAATATTTTAATTTTTATTGTAGAAATAAGAATTTTTACTCCTTAAAGGTTTAATTTCTATCATTTATTTTTTTTAAATAACAAAGCTGTTGTGCTTGATGTGTTCGTAAAAAAAGTAAAAATTTAGTTTTCCAACAGGAATTTCACCACATCTGATACTTGAATGCGACAAACTTTGTATTACATTTGGCAACTGATAAAATTTGTTTTAGATGTTTAGTTTATTATGAACTAGCCGCCTGCGGAAATTTTGTCTACAAACGGAGTTTGTTTTAGATTTAAAAAAAAAACCGAAAGCCGGTTATTTCAAAAACCGGTTATTTTGAGCGGTTATAACCGCCAGGTTAAACCGGAGGTGAAAAAACCTGAATAACCAAAAAACGGTTATTTTCGCAATAATCGCCATCCCTAGTAAAGAGGTGTTAATTCATATTTGAAGGTCGTGAATAAAATATGCTCATGATAGTATGTGGAGTTGATTTTAACATTTTTATCCACTGTCTTTACTTTTATTCGGACATTATATGAAAATTCAGCAGCAATCATAATTTTGTTTAGATTTTTTGAGTCATGTTTTAAGGAGTTTTTTTTTTCTCCTCTTTGATGATAATAAATTGATTTTTTTTCTTGCAGTCATTTAAATAAACTCAAGCTTCATATTGTTAATGCAATCCCTGGATGCTGCTGCGTTGCGCGCAAAAGGTATATTATTATCACTATTGTTTACTTCTTCTGTATTTTCTTTTTGTAATTAAATATCTTCACTGTGGATTTACATTAAGCATTTTCCCAAATGATATCAACTTGAATAGTTGTATCACAAAATCAAAAAGCTGACAAATAGGATGGTACAAACGGATTACAAATAATACCTTTTAAAAAGTGAAATTTTTATAGCTTTTTAAGCATGGAAAAATCCTATGACAAAAATATTTCTGAACTTTGATTAATTGCTGGAATAACCAAAAAAATGCAATGATTATATATAAATGCTGGACACACTTTTTTTTCTAGAGGGGGTGATAAGTTGACACATTTTTGTGATTTCACTCAGCAACCTGTTCACTCTTTAAGCATCTTACTACCTTTATTTTGGTGATAATATGATTAAAATACCTGAAAGTTTTGGTAAAATACAATTTATGTATTTATTTCTGAAGACCAAACCTGTAAACCGACATCATGTTACAGTGGAGATCAAAGGAAATAAAAATATCAAACTGATTTAATGAAATGTGATATATTGAGTTCATCTAAGACATTTCTGGATACAGTAAAAACCAACTGATAAATTATTTAAATAATCATTTAAAGTTGTGTAAAGATCTGAATTATAATAAAAAAATATTAATTAAATTATTGCTGTTATCTTAAATTGTTACATATAAAAAGACAATACTGACAACCATTAGACTTTTTTATAAATAATCTATCTATTTTATGAATTGAAGTAATCCTTATCGCACATTTTTGCTCTTCATTTACTTAATTTCTATTTGGGAGAAAAAAACTTTGCATACAAAGTCAGAAAATATCTTACTTTTGCAAGCATCTTATGTATCACTTTTTGTTAGAAATATAGACAGAACTCATTTTGGTTCAAAATATGAAATAATGGACAAAGTATTCTAACACAGGAAAACTGTGAGTCGGAACCCGGTGGGATCTCAAAAACGTTGTGCATCTTTGATAACATTTTTCAATGTTAGCAGCAAGCATAACTGAAGAGACCATTTCGATTTCAAAAATTTAATCTAAATTATACCCATAAATGTATTAAATTAAATTTCTTTTTGCTATCATTGATTAATCTTTATTTTCCCATTTAGTTTTACAATTCGTTTGCACACAGGGGTTGGGTTATATTTGTGGGGGTCGCGAGCGGGAAGAGCTTGTGAAGACTTACAACATACTTCACAATTTCTCTTTTCGATTTGCTGTGACCGAACCCCTTATTCTCTTTCACCTCCTACACTTCGATGGCTTATTCTTGCTTGTTCTTTTGTCTTTTTGTTCTATTTCTCTGCGTAGATGTTTTTGCTTCCAGCCGAAACCGGAAACATAGACTCATGCACTCCCATATTGCAGCATGCTTACTCATATTTGCTTGAACAGGATTACTTTTTGGCAGATATTTAATTTCTTCAAGCCTTCTCTCAAGACAAGCCAGATGTTGATGTCTGACTAAACTTCCACGAAGGATCACAATTTCTGATAGAGCTCTTAACGGTAACATAACATTCATTATTTGTACCAACAAAGTCTGTTTCTAGAATTTAAGAATTTAGCATATTCCATAACAGTTAAAATTATAAGGATGCCAGTAAAAAGTTCGGTAATGAAAAATTATTAGTCAAGTTCATTTAAAATAAAGAAACAAGAGATATCCCAGATCATCATTTATTTGCATACTTAGTATTTTTCATAAATTTATTTTGTGTTCATAAAATAAATTCATAAATTTACATAACATGAATACATAAAATAATTTTATGTATTCATAAAATAAATTATGGTATGGTAAGTACATGAGAGATAAGCCCTATGAAGGAAGAGTCCAGTATTTCGTTCAATTTTTATTGCCATTTCTCTCAAAAATATCTGTGGGCCGCGGTGGCCTAGTGGTAAGGTCTCGGCTTTGGGGCCGGAGGGTTCCAGGTTCGAGACCCGATTCCACTGAAGATCCGCCGTGTATTGGTCCTTTTACACGTTAAATCATACGTAGTGGTCAAACGTCCTCCCGTTGGTGTGGCGTGGAAGTTTGGAGAGGGGGGTACCAGCTCAGGTGTCGTCCTCGTCATCTGACCGAGGTTCAAAATTACGAGGTCCGTCCCAAAATAGCCCCCGTGTTGCTTCAAAACGGGACGTTAATATAACTAAACTAAACTAAACTCAAAAATATCTATAGTTTAATTTAAATTTAAAATCAGGTTTCAGTGGCTGCGAGTCAGGGGGCGAAGGTGGCTGTCGCCCCCGCACTTTTTTGGGTGAAAATTAAATTTTGATTTCATTTTAGCTGCCTAAAAACAGAAATTATAATAAAGCAATATTTTTCCGGAAAGCTAGCTAATTTTGAAACTAAAATGTTTTAGTTTCTTTGCCTACCCCCAATATTCTCGGTGCTTTTAGGTGTCTATAATTTTTGCCCTCCCCCCTACTTTTGCCTCCCACAGACTCCAATGCAAGGTTTTACAAAGCAGTCAGAACAACAGGCATGCCATTCGTCTCCAACTAAACCTCGAACCGAAAGAGAAAGACGTAAACTGTAAAAAAGTATGTATTTGATAAGTGTAGTGACAGATTTATGAGCTCACAAAATGTGAGAAAAGATACTTTTTTTTATTTACTACTCTATTTCGGAGAACAGGGTGAATGTACTTTTTGACAGAAAGGATAACAAAATTATCAGATATGAATGGATTAGAAATAAGGATTCAACTATTGCATTTCCATATAAAAACTATCACGTGCATTATACTTATAAAAAATATTAAAATCAGTTCCAACTTGATCAAGATTGTAAAGAAAATATCATTACATACATTTAGAAAATTTAAGACTGCTCTAAAGTTTTTACCGGCCAGGACATATTTTGTTTATTCATAACAATTTGGAAAGGTCTAAATGGAACAGAGCTCTTGACAGTTTTTTTTTTTTTCCCCTTGAGTAACTGGGGTTCCCTTACACCGCGGAATGCTTCTTGGGAACTTTGTTGTCTGACTTATAAAAAAAAATCGCCTCACAACTTTAACAATAAATTCTTCCAATACAGGCAGCTTTAAGTCTCTCCTGATGTCGCTATTTATTACATACTTGGATATATCAGTTATTCTTATCGTGGCACTTTACGGATGCGATAATCTGAGAATGCTACTAAGGACAGTGAAAAAGTATCGTATCTCAAATGAGGGTATCGTATCTCAAAGGAGGTGGGTACTGTTTACCCATAGGTAAAGTGTATGTGGCCAGTGTAATCTGGAAATCCATTTGGCGTCTAACCTTCCGTCCCCCAGTGAAAAGCAGGTCAGTGGGCGCCGTGAACCCCATCTATCAACCCCTAAAGATTGTAGAGCTTGCAGAAAGGATTAATAGCCCCATTAATATTGTGGAGATGTTGACAAAGACTATCGCGACCTGTGGCAAGACGAAAAGGCTGTTTATCTCCCCCACAAGAAGTCCATTTGCATGGGGGTGTCCATAGATAGATATACACTATGTTAAATTATGTCTAGTATGATGGTGACTTGGGCCAGGCCCACCGAGAGGGGTGCAGGAGAAACAAAGTCCCCCTGGTCCAGACCCAGGGAGGCCCAAGGAAAAATATATCTTTCTTATTTTCAAGAGTATTAAAATATAAGAGTATCAAGAGTGTTAATATATATACTCTATATATATTAATATATATAGAGTATATAAATTGAACTATATTTTTACATTTAGTTTCTCTGAATGTAAAACTTACATATTAGCTTTATATTAATTTAATTACAGTAGATGGCTAGACGTTAGATTTTCGCAACAAAACGTGACGTAACCGGACAACTGGAAGAAAGATGCCCTTCCGTTGATTAATCACCACAGTCATAATTCGTAAAGGGGGTGCATGCTAATGTGGGAGGACATATACCAGTACTTTGGCCCAGGGCCCGGCTTCATTCTAAGTGGCCTGAAGGGACCCCCAGACAGAATTCTTTTACTGAACCCTTTGCAACTTATTTTTACTCATGTGTAGATAGATATTCTATGAACCTGAAAAGAGCTTTTTGAACATTATCCACCTGCGAATCCATCTTCGGTC